CGGTGTTGGCGTTGCCGCCAGTAACTGCACGGCGAACGATGACGAGAATCAGGTGTGCGACCGACCGCTTGTTAGAGGGCTACAGGCTCAGCCTGCGGCGCACGCTTCGGCGTCTTCGCTGGGTCCACCGCCGACGCCGCACGCGCCGACAACCTCGCCGCCCACGATGATGGGAACCGCGCCCTGGCCCATTATCATCTCCGCGCCGGAGCGTTGGCGGATGCCGGCCGGGGTGGGCGAATCGGCCCGGGCCTGCAGTTCACCGCTGGGGCGACCGAACGCCGATGATGCAACCGCCTTGCCCTGGCATCCGTAAGCGGACGCCCAGATTGCGCCGTCCATGCGCTGCAATCCGATCAGCCGCCCGCCCGCATCGACGACGGCCACGCTCACCTTGATGTTCAGTTGTCAGTTCTCCGGCCTGGGCAGTGCGCGCATATATTCGGTGGGTGCCGCTAAGTAGTGCATTTTCCATCCTCCTTGATGCTGCGCTGCGGCCAAACGGCCCCACAACATAATATGGCCAGCGGTTGCGGTCGGCAAGTGCAGTCGAAATCCAGGCGAATGCTATACTGAAACGCGATTTTGCCCACCGCCTTGGAATGATATTTTGTTGACCCGCCGAATCATACCGTGCCTCGACGTGGACGGCGGGCGTGTCGTTAAGGGAACCAGTTTCGTCAACCTGAGGGATGCCGGCGATCGCGTGCTGAACTGGTCGGGCCGCCATATGATGCGGAAGGCGGCGACGAGCTGGTCTTCCTCGACATCACTGCCAGCAGCGACTCCCGGGACACCATGGTCAACGTGGTGCAACGAGTTTCTGAGCAGGTGTTCATCCCACTGACCGTCGGCGGGGGTATCCGCTCCATCGAAGACGTGCGGCGGATGCTGAACGCCGGAGCCGACAAGGTGTCCATCAACACGGCGGCCATCAACACCCCGGAGCTGGCTAACTCGGGGCGCGGCCCAGTTTGGCAGCCAGTGTATCGTGGTGGCAATTGACGCTCGCCGCGTGGTTCCAGGGGAAGAGCATCCGACGCCTGGAGATGTTTCTCTCGCCGTCGATGACGACTCTGGGTGGCAGGTTTTCACTCACGGCGGGCGCAATCCGACCGGTCTGGATGCGGTCAAGTGGGCGCGCCGCGCCGTTGATCTGGGCTCCGGTGAGATTCTGCTCACCAGCATGGACGAAGATGGGCAGCAGAACGGGTATGATCTCGGATTGACTCGCGCCATCTCGCAGTCCGTGTCGGTGCCGGTAATCGCCAGCGGCGGGGCTGGCACCTTGGAACATCTTTACGATGCTTTTGCCGGGGGAGAGGCCGACGCGGTGCTGGCCGCCAGCATATTCCATTTCGGTACTTACACCATTGCGGAAGCCAAAAACTACCTGGCCGGCCGCAGCATACCCATGCGAATCTGACCCCGAATTCGCAGCATAAACGGTACTCGCAATATGCACAGAGGTGGCATCTACGATGAGCGCAATCACTACGGTGATTTTCGACATGTTCAACACGATTGCACAGGATGGCCCGCATCTTTGGGAGCGCACGTTTGACGACATAGTGCGCGACCAGCAACTGGACACCACACCGGCGGCGCTTCGTCACGCCTGGAACACCGGCGCCGACAATTTCCGCGACCGACGTATCGAACCGGGGGTGCCCTTCGTCTCCTACCTGGAGGGCTGGGCCGACGCTTTCGATGGAGCCTTTCGCGATCTGGGTCTGCGCGGGGACGGGCGGGCAGCCTCCCAGAAATCCATCGACGACCTCGGTCAACGCGAACTGTGGGAAGATTCCCCCGAAGCCCTCAACATGATCTGCCAAAACTGGCGAATGGGGATCGTTTCCAATGCCGATGACGCCTACCTGAACCCGGTGGTTGCCAGGATTGAAGCTCCGTTTGGGGCGGTAATTTCCTCTGAGGGCGAACAGTGTTACAAGCCTGACGCCCGCATGTTCCGTGCCGCTTGCCAACGATTGGGTGTCGCTCCCTCCGAATGTGTGTACGTTGGGGATCGTCAGTTGGAAGATGTTATGGGCGCGCACGGTGTCGGCATGGCCGCCGTATGGATCAACCGTTCCGGATCCGCCATGGATCCCGCCCTCCCTACGCCCGACGCAGAAATCCGCAACCTGCTGGAGCTGCCGCAGGTGCTGGAACGGCTGGGCTAACCCGCCAGAGGCCAAACCCGGCCAATGTCGGCCCTAAACTCGGCCAATATAGGCCAAGGAGCGCTCTTATGACTGACGTAAAGCTGGATGACAAGGGGTTGGTGCCGGCCATAGCGCAGGACATCAACACCGGCCAGGTTTTGATGCTGGGATACATGAACCCCGGCTCGCTCAAGCGTACCGTCGAGGGCACGCAGGTGTGGTTCTACAGCCGTAGCCAGGAAGATCTGTGGCACAAGGGCGAGGTGTCCGGCAACTACCTGAACCTGCGGGAGTGGTACGTGGACTGCGACGCCGACACGATTCTGCTGAAGGTGGAACCTGACGGTCCGGCCTGCCACACCGGTGAGGTTTCCTGCTTCTACACCAAATGGACGACTTGCCCGCCGAATACGAAGCTTCTGACGGCGGGCCGCGCGTGCTCGACGAGCTGTTTGCCGTCATCAAGGACCGACAGCGGGCGATGCCGGATGACAGTCACACGGCAAAGTTGCTGAGCGAGGGAACCAGCCGCGTCGCGCAGAAAGTCATCGAAGAGGCGGGCGAGGCTGCCCTGGCGGCGGCTACCGGCGATACCGAGGGCCTGCCCGGTGAAATCGCCGACCTGCTGTATCACACGCTGACTCTGATGGCGTCGGCGGGAGTTTCGCCCAACGCGGTTTGGGAAGAATTGCGGTCCCGGCGCGGCTAGGCAGCGGGGCCATAGACGGTCAGCGATGGCACGGTTTGCCCGGAGGCATACTGCGTCCAGCCGCCTGACCGGTACACGGTAACGTTGCCGGCGCCCATCACGGTGGCCTGGCTGGGGTCGAGCAGCAACCCGGTGGCGCCGTCGATGCCAAGGACGCACAACCCGGATTCGCCACCACTCGCCAGCTGTTCCGATACTGTCGCCGGGTCGCTGCGTTCGTGATGAGGTCGGACCAGAATGCCCGGAGCAATGCCGAGGGCGGCGGAACCTTGCCCCGATGACGGCCGGCGCATCTCCTGACCCCAGCACCATCGCGCCCGCACTCGACCCGGCCCAGATTGTGCCGCTCCGGTTAGCCGCCGTCAGCGCCTGCAGCAGGGGAGAGTCAGCCAGCACAGTCAGCAGGTGTTCCGGGCTGCCGCCGGTGAAATACACGATGTCGGCGCCCGCAACCTGGTCGACAATCTCCGGGATTTCAGCATCGGGACGGCTGGTTACATCCATAGTGAACGCGTCGGCGCCCAGATTGCCGAAATGTCGGCGGCCATTGTCGGCGGCGCGCTGTGGGTTCTCGAATGCCGCCGCGGTTGGTATGATGGCAATGCGCGGTTTCGCTTTGCCGGTCAGGGCCAGCAGACTGCGATCCATTTCGACGCAGGTGGGGCGAAATTCGTCGCCCCCCACCAGCAGGACCCGACGTGGCAAACTGGATTGTTGTCGCTCGCTGGTCAAACTGGGCACCGCCGAATCACTCCATGCTGGAGGAAAGATGTTCGAATTTATACACCATGTTCGTATCCTAGTCCACGACGCCGACGAGATGGCCAAATACATCGAGGACAAATTCGGCATGACGCCGGAAAAAGTGCAGGTTTACGAAGCGCGCGGGATGAAAAACGCCATCTACAAGGTGGGGCAGACCAACGTGGAATTCACCGAACCGCTGGATATGGACTCGGCGATGGGACAGTACCTGAAAACCTTCGGCCCCGGCCCGTATCACATGGCCTTTGGGGTGACGGACGTTGAGGGCAAATCCGCGGAACTGGCCGCCAGGGGCACCGGACTGCGCGGCGAAAACGGTCTGTCCCGCAGCGCGGAAGGCTACATGACCGCCAATATAGATGCCGCCAGCGCCCTGGGATTCCCATTCCAGCTGGCCGAAGGTTAGCCGCCGGCGCTGGGCACTCCACACGGCATCAGACGCAGCACAGCAGGGAGGTTACCATGTTCAATTCTGTTCATCACATTCACTACGTAGTGCACGACCGCGATGCGATGGTCGATTACATTCGCCAAAATTTCGGTATGGAGCCCGACGACCTGAACGTCATCGAGGGACGCGGTATGAGAGATGCGCTGTACCGGGCCGGGGAAACCCTCATCGAGATAACCGAGCCGCTGGACCCGGAATCGGGCATCGCCAAACATCTGGCCGACCACGGCCCAGGCGTGTATCACGTTGCATTTGGGGTGGATAACGTCCGGCAAGTCTCTGCTGACCTGGCTGCCAAGGGCAACCTGATGCGCGGTGAAGGCGGCGTTACGCAAAGCCCCCGCGGTTACACGACCGCCAACATCGACCCGGAAAGCAGTCTGGGATTGTGGTTCCAACTTGCCGAGGGATAAACGGGTCGCCCACTCGCCAATATGCTAGGATGCGACCCTGATTCGCACGCAATTCATACTGACCGGAATTTATCGAATGCTAGTCAAAGACACCATCGTAAAGGCCGTGGCGGATGCGCTGGAACGCGCCCATCGGGACGGCGTGCTGAATGTCGACACCGTCCCGTTGATTGAAGTTGAGCGCCCCAACAATCCTGACCACGGCGATTTCGCGACCAACCTGCCGCTACGCCTGGCGCGGGCCGCCCGCTCCAATCCGTTGCAGTTGGCCGAGGCTATCGCCGCGCGAGTGGAAACCGGGCCGGAGATTGCCAGCGTGGCGTCGGCGCCGCCCGGGTTCATCAATTTCAGGCTCAGCGATCGCTGGTTGCAGGAGCAGGTTGAGGTGGTGCGCAGTGCCGGAGACGCGTTCGGCGCGGCGCAGATTGGCCAGGGCCGCAAGGTGATGGTCGAGTTTGTCAGCGTCAACCCGACTGGGCCGGTGCATGTGGGGCACACCCGCGGCGCCGTGCTGGGCAGCGCGTTGGCGAACGCCCTGGCAGCGGTTGGGTACGACGTTACCCGCGAGTATTACGTCAACGATGCCGGCTCGCAGATGGAGGCGTTTTACCGGTCGGTGTGGGTGCGCTATCAGCAAGCCCTGGGTCGGGAAGCCGAGTTGCCGGACAATGGCTATCAGGGCGACTACATCGCCGACATCGCGGCTGACATAATCCAGTCCGAGGGAGATCGCTACCTGGAATTGAACGACGCGGCCGCGATTCGCGGCATAGGCGACGTGGCCCGGGAGCAGATGATATCCGTAATCAGCGAGGACCTGAGCGCTATCGGTGTCGACTTTGACAACTGGTTCAGCGAACGCCAGCTGTTTCAGGACGAGGACTACGACCGGGCGATGGAGCGGTTGCGCGAGGGCGGCCACCTGGCCGAGCGCAGCGGGGCGCTCTGGTTTAACTCGATCGCGCTGGGCGATGATCGGGATAACGTGGTGGTGCGCTCATCCGGCGAACCTACTTATTTTGCGTCCGATATTGCGTACCATTTCAACAAATTCGATCGCCGTGGCTTCGAGCGGGTGATCGATATTTGGGGCGCAGACCACCAGGGTCATGTGCCACGGATGAAGGCGGCGGTTACCGCTCTGGGCATGGAACCGGAAAACCTGACCGTGCTCATCTCCCAGATGGTTACGCTGAAGCGCGGCGACGAGACCGTGCGCGCGTCGAAACGCACCGGGGATTTCATTACGCTGCGGGAGCTGGTGGACGAAGTGGGCGTGGATGCCTGCCGTTATTTCTTCCTGGCCAGGTCGCCCTCCACTCAGATGGAATTCGACATGGAACTGGCGACCCGGGAGTCGTCGGAGAACCCGGTTTACTACGTGCAGTACGCTCACGCCCGCAACGCCAGCATCCTGAAGCTGGCCGCCGAGCGCAACATCGACTATAGCAACGGTGATGTAACCTTGCTGGACAGTGCGTACGAATTGAGCCTGATACGCACCATGCTGCGGTTGCCGGAGCTGATCGTACAGGTGGCGGAGAACCTGGAGCCGCACCACCTGCCCCACTACGCGATGGAGCTGGCCACTGCGTTCCACCATTTTTACGAGAACTGCCGGGTAGTGTCGGCGGACGCTGCGGACAATGACATCACGCTGGCGCGCCTGAAGCTGGTGTCGGCAGCTCAGGTGGCCTTCCGTCGTACTCTGACGCTGATGGGTATGTCGGCGCCGGACCGCATGGAACGCATCTGACCAATTCGCCCACGGACCTCGACCGTCCTGCCCGGGTACTGCCCCGACGATCCCTGCGGGGACAAACTCTCCGGGATTGTCTAGGACAGTTGGAGGGTGTATAGTGCGATACCTATGCTCAATCGTTATTCGACAGCGAGCCCATTGGTAGCGCTCGACACCTGCACCTGTGATTCTCGTCAACCGGATTTTAACCCAGCCTGTATTTTGCTGAGCACCGCCGGCGATTCTTCCGTCGGAGGAATCGACTAGCCATGGACGTGCTTTGGCGCATAATCAGGATGGCGGCGTATTATCCGTCGCGGCTGGGTCTCGCTTATTTCACTGCGATAGCGGCGATTGGATTCTCGTTGGCTCTACCTTGGCTGTTTGGCGACGCCATTGATCTTATGGTGGGTCGGGACGGGGACCGGTTCGCGGTTCGTGAATTTGTTCTCAGCGAATTATTGCTCTTCGGCGTCGGAATCCTGATGGTGAGTCTGGGCCGGGGATTCTGCGACTTCGGGCGCACATATACAACTGAATCACTCTCACAGAAGGTTTCTTTTGACTGTCGAAACCTTCTCTACGACAAGCTGCAAAACGTCAGCTTTGCTTTCCACGACAGAGAGCACACTGGCGACCTGATGTCCCGCGCCACCGCCGATGTGGAAGCGATGCGCCGGTTCGTCAACCTGGGAATGATTCGGTCGCTGGATGTGGTCGTTCGCATTGTTGCTATCCCGCTTATTCTTTTCTTTGTCAACTGGCAGCTGGCGCTGGTGAGCATGATTTTTGTGCCCGCTCTGGTGCTGCGATCCAGCCTCGTAATGCGGGCATTGCGCCGCAAGTGGTTGCACGTCCAGGAAGTAATGGGCGAGTCGGTTACGGTTTTGCAGGAAAACCTGGCCGGAATGCACGTAGTAAAAGCATTTGCATCGGAAGACTACGAACGGGCCAAATACAATCGCAAGGCCGAAGAATTGCGCGTCGAATATTACGATGCCGAGCGGATGCAAGGCACTAACAGCGCGTGGATGACCCTGTACTTCACCTTCGCGCTGGGCCTGATTCTGTGGGTAGGCGGTTGGCTGGTTGTCGAAAATCGACTCGCCCCTGGTGAACTGGCCATGTTCTTCCTTTATCTGAATCAGCTGACTTTCCCCATCCGGGCCTCGGCGCAGATTATCAACACGTTCTCACGGGCCATCTCGTCTGGGCAGCGTTTGTTTGACATCCTGGACACCCGATCGCCGGTGGAAGAGCGGCCCAACGCAGTACCCATGGACAGGCCAGCCGGGCACGTGCGCTTCGAAGAAGTGGGTTTCGGGTATGCAGACCGTTCTCCGGCGCTGAAGCACGTTGAGCTGGATGCCAAGCCGGGACAGGTAACTGCCATCCTGGGCGCTCCCGGCAGCGGGAAAACCACCATCGTCAACCTGCTGCCCCGTTTTTACGATGTCACTGACGGTAAAATTACCATCGACGGAGATGATATCCGGGACTACACGTTGCAGTCGCTGCGGCATAACGTCGGCATCGTGCACCAGGACGTGTATCTGTTCAGCGCTTCCATCCGCGACAACATAGCCTACGGCGTCAGCAGCGCCACCGCCGAAGACGTGGAACGGGCAGCCAAGGTTGCGCAATTGCACGACCAGATCATGGCGCTGCCAGGCGGTTACGGTACCTGGGTTGGTGAACGTGGGGCGACTCTGTCCGGCGGCCAGCGACAGCGCCTTTCCATCGCAAGAACCATTCTGATTGATCCTCCGGTGCTGATCCTTGACGACTCCACCTCCAGTGTTGATGTGGAAACCGAACGCCAGATTCACCGGGCCATGGTTGAGGTGATGAAAGGGCGGACCACGTTCGTTATTGCTCACCGGTTGAGCACGGTGCGGGATGCCGACCAGATTCTGGTACTGGATAAGGGCGTGATTGCCGAACGGGGCACCCACAGCGAGTTGATAAATCAGGGCGGCATGTACCAGAGCATCTACGAACTGCAACTGCGGCCCCAGGAAGAAATTTTGCTGGAGGCGGCTTTGCCAGCCATGGTTGACGGGGGTGCGCCAGCATGATGCGGGGTGGGGGCGGTATTGGCGGCGGGATGATGCAGGGGATGCGTGGCACCTCTGCCGACAGCATGTTCGCGCCGTCGAATGATCAACTGACGGATGAGGATGTAGTCGGGCGCGTTTACGACAATAAGGTCGTAGTGCGGTTCACGAGCTACATTAAGCCTTACAGTAAATTTGCCTTCATAGCCCTGGGGTCGCTGCTGGTATACGCTGCGTTCAACGCCGGAATCCCGCTGCTGATCATGTACGGAATCGACTGGGCGATCGCCGAAGGTCAGGTAAACCGGGTACACATCATTGGCGCAGCCTTCATGGTGATCACGGTTATCCACTTCCTGTCGAACCGCTTGCAGTTCATATACATTTCGCGCACCGGGCAACACATCCTGTACGACCTGCGCACGGGAATGTTCAGCCACCTGCAAAACCAGTCCAACGCCTTCTATAACCGCACGCCCATCGGGCGCGTCATGTCCCGTATGCAGTCGGATATCCTGCAATTGCAGGAGACTTTTGAACTGCTGGCGTTGGCATTGGCCGAATTGGTCACGGTCGGCGCGATCATTGTCCTGATGCTGTGGGTCAACTGGCAGTTGGCGCTAGTCTGTATGATTGTAGTGCCGGTGCTGACGCTAATCATGATGTACTGGCAGCGGTTTGCGCGCCACTCCTTCATGCGGATTCGCCGGGCTATTGCCATGGTGAACGGCGAGTACAACCAGAACATCACTGGTGTCAGGGTCGTGCAGAGTCTTAACCGGCAGGATGAGAATCTGGAACACTTCCGCGAACTGAATACCGAATATCTGAATGCGAACCTGGAAGCCGCCCGCTATTCGGGTTTGCTCCAACCGTTGGTTGAGTTGCTGATCGGCCTGGGGATTGGGATGGGCGTTGTGCTTTTCGGTGGTTTCCTGTTGCAGCGCGGTAGCCTGGAAGTGGGCGTTCTGGTCGCCTTCGCTTTCTGGATTCAGCGGTTCTTTGAACCGATTCGCCAGTTGACGATGCAGTACAGCCAGCTCCAAAGGGCAATGGCCGCCGGCGTCCGCATTTTTGAGGTCTTGGACCTTGATCCCGGATATTCTCGACAAACCCGACGCCGAAACGTTGCCTGAAATTCAGGGTGATATCCGTTACAAAAATGTGGAATTCCACTACGTGGAAGGTGTCGAGGTGCTGCGGGATGTGAACCTGCACATCCAAGCCGGCGAAAACGTGGCGTTGGTTGGTTCTACCGGTGCTGGCAAGAGTACGCTGGTGAACCTGTTGCATCGCTCCGCCGATGTTACCGACGGCGCAATTGAAATAGACGGGTATGACCTGCGCGACGTGAAGCGAAACTCACTGGTGCATCAGATGAGCATGGTGCTGCAGGAGCCCTACCTGTTTTCCGGTACCGTGCGGGAAAATATCAGCTACCTGAACGAACAAGTTACCCGTGAGCAGGTGGTGGAAGCGGCCACGGCGGTGGGAGCCCACGACTTTATCATGGAGCTCGATAACGGATACGAGTCAGTGCTGGCCGAACGAGGCGTTAACCTGAGCATCGGGCAACGGCAGCTGATCAGCTTCGCCCGCGCCATCGTGAGCAACCCGCGGATCCTGGTGCTGGACGAGGCGACGGCCAACATCGACACCCATACGGAGCTCCTGATTCAACGGGCGTTGAACCGCATTTTGCGAGGCCGCACGTCCATCGTCATTGCCCACCGGTTGTCCACCATCCGCAACGCAGATAAAATCGTGGTGCTGGATCGCGGACGGGTGGTCGAGGTGGGCACCCATGACGAATTGCTGGAGGCGGGCGGGGCTTACGCTCAGCTTTACGCCATCAACTACGGCTTGTCCGGCCCCAGCGTGGGTGTTGCGCCAACCGGTGGCGAGGTAATCGGGGCAGCCGACGACTGATTCCCCGCCGTTCCTGCGCGTATTCCGGTCAGCCGGTTTCGAGGAATCGCCGAATCGCCGTAGCCAGTTCCTCCGGCTTGTCGTAGCCGATATCGTGAATGGTGTCTGGAATCCAGAGCACCTGTCTGTTTTTCAGCGCAGCCGAAGCTGCGCCAACCATAACTTCCCGTTGCCGAGAGAATTGGGAATTGGCGCGCTCGGCGCGTGGGCCGGCGGCGACCACCAGCGTGGGAGTTTCAACGCGCGGCAATATCAGCGATGGCGGTTCCGTCCACATTGTTTCCAGAACCTGCGCGTGGTTGTCCGGGCGCAAAATGTCCCGCATCTGGCCGTCGTCGCCTTCATACACCATGGTCAGAGCGATGTCGGCCAGGTCGTCGCCCCAGCAGAACGACAGGTTGGCGGACAGCGCGGAAAGATACTCGTCCCGCGTGCCGGCGACGCGTCGGGGCGCCAGACGTTGCTGGAACGCTTCCCAGGTTGGCGTCGGCATCAGCCCGCCATCCTGGAAACCGCCATCAATCATTACCAACTGGGTGACCCGGTCCGGAAATCTCGCTGCCAGATTGCTGGCAACGTGTCCGCCCCAGGAATGTCCAAGCACCGCGGCCCGGTCGATGCCGAGGTGGTCAAGCAGGCCGACGGCATCCTCGGCCAGCGACTGCCAGTCGTAGCCGGAAGGCGCCTGGGTGGTCGAGCCGTGGCCGCGCTGGTCGGGTGCGACGATACGGTAGGCTGGGGCCAAAAGGGGCGCCAGCCGGCGGTACCAGTGTCCCGATGAGGCCAGGCCGTGCAGCGCCAATATCGGCAAGCCGTCACCGGGCCATTCCAGGTAGTGAATGGTCAATTCGTCGATTTGCGCCGTCTGGAACGTGGGCCCGGCGCTGGCGTTGGCGGAATCCTGATTAGGCATAACGAACAACTCTCTTGTTATTGGTCTTGGCCGCGATTATACCCTCCCCGGCGGGATCGCGGATTGGCCGGATTCCGGATTGGTGCGAGTGCAGGGCCGGCCAACGCGTGTGCTAAAATTGGGCCCCGAGCAATGATAATGAACACGAGGAAGCTGGAATGACCGACCGTTATCACCTCGGTGACTACGCCCAAGTGGTGTCGGAGGCGGCTGACCGGCTGGATGCCGAATCGGTCCCGGCTCGCCTGCACGCGCACGACTACACACTGTGGAGCGACGACCCCACCGAGATTTCCGACCGACTCGCCTGGCTCACTCTGCCGACCGATATGGCGACACAGGTTGCCGACCTGTGCAGGTTCGGTACGACACTGCGGGATGAAGGCTGCCGGCACGTGGTGCTGTTGGGGATGGGCGGCAGCAGTTTGGGCCCGGAAGTAATTCGGCAAACCATTGGCAACAGCGCCGGCTACCCGCAGATGCTCACGCTGGACAGCACCGTCCCCGACTGGGTGGTTGCTACCACGGTGGCCATCGACCCGACTCGTACCGTTTTTGTGCTGTCTTCAAAGTCCGGCACCACCACCGAGCCCAACGCCTTTTACGCGTACTTCCGCGACCTGATGGCTGGCCAGGTGGGCGTCAATGATGCCGGACGTCATTTCCTGGCGATTACCGACCCGGAAACTGCCTTGGTTCGGTTGGCGCAAACTGGAGGTTTCCGGCGGGTATTTCTCAATGACCAGAACATCGGCGGGCGTTATTCGGTGCTGTCGCATTTTGGGTTGGTGCCAGCCGCGCTGACCGGGGTCGATCTGGAGCGGTTGCTGGACAGCGCCCAACGAATGCAGCGGCGTTGCCTGGGCGCCGGCCAGGTTCGGGACAACCCCGGCGCCTGGCTGGGCACGGTGATCGGCGCCCTGGTGAAGGCGGGTCGAAACAAACTGACGCTAATCGCTTCCGACAGCATCGCCGGATTCGGCTTGTGGGTAGAGCAGTTGCTGGCCGAAAGCACCGGCAAGAACGGCACCGGAGTCGTCCCCGTCGCTGGTGAGCCGCAGATGGAACCGGTTTTTTACGGAGACGACCGTTTATTCGTTCAGTTGCGTCTGGCCTCGGATGACAACGCGGACGCTGATGCCCTGGCGAGCGCGTTGTCATCCGCCGGGCACCCGGTGGTGCAGCTGGAAATGTTGGACGGCTATGATTTGGGCGCTGAGTTTTACCGCTGGGAGTATGCTACCGCCATAGTCGGCCAAATCCTCGGCATCCATCCGTTCGACCAGCCGGATGTGCAGGGCGCCAAAGACCAGACCGTAAGCGTTCTTGACCAGTATCAGCGGGACGGCAGTCTACCGAGGCCACAACCCGAGAAATTCGGGCAACTGGCGCATTTGCTGGAAAACAGCAGAGCTGGCGACTATCTGGCCGTGATGGCCTACCTGCCTGACAGCCCGGCAACTCGGCTGGAACTCAACGCCTTGCGGGAACGAGTGCTGCGCAAATATCGCATCGCTACCACCGTTGGCTACGGGCCGCGATTTTTGCATTCCACCGGCCAACTGCACAAGGGCGGGCCCGCCAGCGGGATTTTCTTGCAACTGACGCAACAACGCTCGCACGATCTACCCATTCCGGGCTGGCCATTCAGTTTCGGGGTGTTGGCCGACGCCCAGGCGCTGGGCGATTTCCAGGCGTTGCAGGCTCTGGGTAGGCGAACGATGTCCCTGCGGTTGGCGGGCGACCCGGCAGAAGAAATCCGACGCCTTGTCGATCTCGTCTGATAGAACAACGGCGCAACTGAGTATCAAGGAGCAAAAGCTTGGAAATCGGAATGGTTGGCCTGGGCCGCATGGGTGGCAACATGGCCCAGCGATTGTTGCGGGGCGGCCACACGGTGGTAGCTTTTGACCAAAGTGCGGCGGCGTTGGCCGCCAACGTGTCGGAAGGCGCGGCCGGCGCAGATTCCGTGGCCGATCTGGTCGGGCGGCTGGCTCCGCCGCGGGCGGTATGGCTCATGCTGCCGGCCGGTGAAGTTACCGAGGCCTCAATGGAGGAACTGGGCGGGTTGCTGGCGCCGGACGATGCCATCATCGACGGAGGCAACGCCAACTACAAGGAAACCCTGCGCCGTGGCAAAACTTTGGCCGAGCGCGGTATCCACCTGCTGGACGCTGGCACCAGCGGCGGAATCTGGGGGCTGACCGAAGGCTATTCGCTGATGGTGGGCGGAGACCCGGACGTGTTCCGGCGGCTGGAACCCATCTTTCAGGCCCTGGCTCCGGGGCCGGACCGGGGATACTGCCGCGTTGGGCCCACCGGAGCCGGCCACTTCACCAAGATGGTGCACAACGGCGTGGAATATGGCCTGATGCAAGCCTACGCCGAGGGTTTCGAGTTGCTGCAAGCCAAGCAGGATGACTTTGATCTGGATCTGCTGGCCATCGGCAAAACCTGGCAGTACGGCAGTGTGGTGCGCTCGTGGTTACTGGATATGGCGGTGCGGGCGCTGGAGGAGGATGGAGACCTGGAAAGCCTGGCGTCCTACGTGGAGGATTCCGGTGAAGGGCGCTGGACGGTGAACGAATCGGTGGAACTCGCGGTGCCAACTCCCGTAATCACGGCGGCGTTATACCAGCGATTCCGTTCCCGACAAGAGCAACCGTTTAGCGGGCGTATGCTGGCCGCACTGCGCAACCAGTTTGGAGGACACGCCGTCCGCAATATTGAGCCGTAAGCGAGCCTAAAAATGGCTATGATGTGCTTGATCCAAGTATAAAACGGCCATTTGGCGTGCCTGTAAATTCCGAGCACGTCCGGCGCATTGATTGGGCGATCGCCCAAGGGTAGGGGCGACAACCCGGCGGGAAAGACGATTGCAAGAGTGTTGCCGAATACGACGTGGGCGCCGGAACAACATCCCGCCCTGTCATACCGGGGTGTTGTGGCAGCATTGGAGAACGTCAAGCAGTCCACGGCTGCTCCGATGTCCGGGTTGGCGTTTGAGTTTCTGGTTTTGACGGCCTCGCACAGCGGAGAAGTCAGGTTGGCCGCCAGGTCTGAAATCGATTGGGAGTCGGGAAAGTGGACAGTGCCTGCGGAGCGGATGAAAGTGCGGCGTCAACAACTGAACAGTTGCCAATGACCGCGGGGATTGACGAGCTGAGGAAACCGGCTGAGTCAGGGAGCCAATGCGGGCATTCCGGCTAATCTCAGGGCTGCGGAAACTCTCGCCGGAATTCTGGGTCAATTTCGGCGTGAAGGCCGTATTGATTGGCCTGCTGGCAATCGGGGCCTTCTCAGGATTGCAACAATTCGAGGGCAAAGCATTCCTCTGGCGGCTGGCCATATACCCGATTGCCGCCCTGATAATCCCCGTAATTTGGACAATGCTTGGACGAAGGCCGGCTTACCCTTACGCCGCCGACGTTCTGCTGACCCTGCCTTTCCTCATCGATACCGCAGGCAACGCCCTGGACTTCTATGACACGATTGGGTGGTGGGACGACGCGAACCACTTCGTCAATTGGATGCTGCTCTCCGGCGCGGTTGGTGTGCTGGCTTGGCGAAACCGTATCGGGCGTTGGGAATCAGTGGCGTTTGTAGTGGGATTCGGCGCGGTCTCGGCCATTCTGTGGGAGGTAGCCGAGTACTACGCCTTTATTCGACACTCGTCTGAGCTTGCCACGGCATATTACGATACGTTGGGCGATCTGGCGCTCGGACTGACCGGCTCAGTCGTGGCCGGTCTGGCAACCGCCCTGGCGCCGCGCCCATAGCGGACGTCCTGGCTTCCAGTCCGGAACTCAACCGCACCGTGAACCGCCTGGGCAATCGCCGCTCACCCCAGCTCAACTGCAGAGGCTGGCCAGGCTGGAACCGGTACGCGTCGACCAGGTCGCTGGGAACGGCGCAAACGGCTATCGGAAAGATGCCGTCCCGCACAACGGTCGGCGTAGCCAATAGTACGAGAACAGCCAAGTGCACATTAGCCCAACGGCAGCAAGAACAGGTATAATTTTTACTAACTCATGCGAAAATCCGATTTGCTATGGTGCTCCGTTCCGATGTCCAACCGGGCAAAGGGGGATAATGGGGTGCCTCACAAAATATTGAAGAGGAGATAGATATGCCAGCGAAAGTCAAAGGCCTCGGTCATATCGGTTTCTACGTTCATGACCTGGACCTCATGAAAGACTTCTATGGGGAATTTCATGGGCATGACGGTGACCAAGGTCGGTCCGCTCGGGGTGTTTTTCAGTGCGGACCCGGAGGCCGTCGACCACGAGATAGCACTGATTAACGGACGGACTTCGCTCGAAGATCCGCATTGGATCCAGCAGATTTCAATGCGGGTAGATTCTCTCGATGATCTACGGGATTTCAAGCGTCGCATCCAGGCGCACGGGTACCAGTTGGACCGCATCGTCACTCACGCGAGCGCTATCGGTTGCTACTTCCGCGACCCGGAGAACAACCCCACCGAGGTGTTCTGGCTCACCGGCTATCAGTCGTGGGCCCAGATCGGCATCCCGATAGACATTGGCCAGTCGGACGAAGAGGTTATGGCAGAAGTGCTTCGGTCTTGGGAGACGGTCCAAAACGTCGAAATGGGCAAGGTACCCAGCCCGGAAACGCTCAACGCCATCCGCGAACTGAACTCGGTCGCTGCCGCCAGCCGGTAAGCCAGCGGGTCGACCCAGACGAGCCGTTTCAGCTGCGAGTATTCTTAGTGGGTGTCTAAAAAGCTGCTGGCAAGTCTCTGGGGAGAATGGAATAGCGGGGGAACGACCCCTCACCCCAGCCCTCTCCCACAAGGGGGAGAGGGAGTTTTTAGACACCTTCTTAGAGCCTGTCTACGATCTTTTTAGGATTAGCACCGTGAAGGCAAGCACCACCATTTGCAGGCTGGTATTGAGCTTCCTTTCGCAGTTCTTCCAGAGTCGGCGGCACTTTTCCAGCCAGGCGAAAGACCGCTCCACCACCCATCGCTTTGGAAGCACCACGAAGGTGTGCAGTTCGTTGCGTTTCACCACTTCCACCGAGGCTCCCAACAGGCCTTGCACCGCAGTGGCAAAGGGCTTTCCGGTGTAACCCCCGTCCACCAGCACGTTCTGCACTTGACTGAGGCCGTCTCGGCGCCGGTCAAACATCGCCAAAGCCCCGGCCCGGTCGGTGACGTCGGCGGTAGTCACGTGTATCGCATGGGGCAATCCTTGCGTGTCCACCGCGATATGACGCTTGATTCCCGACACCTTCTTGCCTGCGTCATAGCCCTTGTGCCCAGCGGTGTCCGTGTTCTTGACGCTCTGGGAGTCCACGATACAGAAGCTGGTCTGCTCTTTCCGTCCATTGCTTTGTCGGGCCGCGCCAACCGATTTTTTTTAGGACTTGCTCCAGAATGGAATCCTGACCCGGGCCAGGCCGCTCGCTCCATTGCCGGAAATACTTGTAGCAAGTACGCCAATTGGGGAAGTCCGCGGGCAGCATTCGCCACTGGCACCCGCTTTTCAAGAGGTACAGCACGCCGCAGAAAACGTCATACAAGTCCACGGTGCGGGGCTTGGTCCGGCGTCGGGCCGACTCCAACGTCGGCAGAATCCGGACGAATTGCTCCCGGCTGATGTCGCTGGGATAGGAATGAGACATGATTACCCCTCCCCTGATAATAGTCTCAGCTTAACCTATTTCAGAGATCGTAGACAGGTTCTTAGACCGAGCGCTCTATTCTTTGGTCAAGGGCGGCGCGATGCTCGTGCGTAACCACTCTGTCATTGCGGGCGGAGCGTGGCAATCCCTTCGCCGTAACTAAAGATGGCGGAGTCGAGAAACTCCGCCATCCCAGATGCTGATGTCCGGCAATGACGCCTGACGTAACCGTGATTAGCCGTTGGTAAAGATGTCGTTGGCTACGTCCATGGCGCCACGGGCAAAGGGAATGCCCGAATACAGCGTCATGTGGCCGAAGACCTCGATAATCTGATCCTGGGTCAGGCCGATGTTCAGAGCGCCGCGGATGTGGCTGCGCAGTGGGCCTTCCCGACCCAGCGTGGCCAGGCAGGTCATCGTGCAGATGCAGCGGCTGGTCAGATCCAGGCCGGGGCGGGTCCACGTTGCGCCCCAGTAGTATTCGCCGGTAATGCGACCCAGTTCGCGCTCGGCTTGGGTGGGCGGGGCCGGCCGTCCCCCGGGTTGCGTGCCCATGTAGTTGCGGCGGTATTCCTCGCCACGCTGGAACAGGCTGTCCGGGTCTTCATTGGTGTCGTGGATGCGGGTCGGCGTAAAGTCGATGCCGCGCTCCTCGAATATTTCCTTAATGATGCTGAGGGAGTTTATGCCGGCGGGCGCGCCTCCGTACCAGGTATCGTGGATTATCAGCTCCACAATCTGTTCCGGCGTCAATCCGAGGTTCAGCGCGTTGCCGAGGTGGCGGCGGAGCTGGTTCTCCCGCTGCAACACGATGAGGGAAGACAGCGTTACCATCTCCCGCTGCACCGGGGTCAGGGCGGGACGCTTCCAGATGGTGCCGAACAATGCCTCGCCGAGGATGCGTTCCAGGTCGGGAGCGATGTCCCAGGCGCCGGGCGCCGAACCGCCGCCGATGACGCCGCCGCCGAACATCCGACGGGTTTCCTGACCTCGTTCATAACGGTCATCCAATTCGCTCATTTTTCCTCCGTGTTTATGGTCGTGGGTAGAACGCCGGCAGTGTACGGGTGAACCGGGCCAGGCGCAACCGACGGCTGACTGTGGTCAGCGTTTCTCTATTGTTGGCAGTCATCCGGGCTGCCCTTCGACCCGGCTCAGGGTGAGCGGGGAAATCTATTCGGATAGCAAACCGAAAGGCCCCGGTCTGTTGCCCCTTGATGCCGCCGCCGCTATGATTGCCCTATGATTGACCTGCTGATTACCAACGGACAGGTGATTGATGGCACCGGCAGCCCGGGCTTCTATGCTGCGGTTGCCGTTTCCGGCGACACGGTGGAGGTGCATCGCGGCGACGACGCCGACCTGCGACTCAACGCCGCGCGCGTCATTGACGCTACCGGGCACGTGGTTTGCCCCGGTTTTGTCGACCTGCACTCCCACGCCGGGCTGACCATTCTGGGAGAACCGCACCACGACCCGAAAGTGCGCCAGGGCGTAACCACCGAGTTGGTGGGCATTGATGGTATTTCCCATGCGCCCTTCAAGAATCAGGAAGAATTGCACCGCTACATCTGGCTGGACTCCGGCCTCAATGGGTACCCGCCAATGCCTGCCGATTGGCTGACGGTGGCGGATATGCTCGGCAAGTACGACGAAACGGTGGCCATCAACATCGCCTATATTCTCGGTAACTCGCCAGTGCGAATCTGGAGCGTGGGATGGAACGAGCGGGCGGCCACCGCTGCCGAGATTGCCGACATGCAGTCCGTCGTGCGTGAGGCGATGGGAAGAGGGAGCATGGGGATTGTCCACGGGCCTCGACTACCCACCGGGCGCCTACGCCGACACTGACGAACTGGTTGCCTTATCGGAAACTGCGGCATCGCTGGGCGGCATCTACCACACCCACACCCGGGCCAGCCTGCTCAGTCAGGGTTACCTGGCTCCGTGGCACGAAGCGGTCGAAATCGGGCGACGCAGCGGCATACCCGTGCACCTGACCCACTACCGGCAGAGCGTTTCCGGCGTCGGCAGCCATCTGGGGCATTTGGGACTGGTGGAGGACGCGCGCGCCGAGGGCATTGACTGCACGTTCGACTGCTACACCTACCCGTTCTCCGGTACCACGGTAACCATCGGGCTGCCCCACTGGGCCAAAGACGGTGGCCCGGAGCGGCTGATGGCGGCGTTGCAGGATTCCGACGACCGCCAACGGCTGAAACGCGAATTATCCCCGAGCCGGCTGTACAACAACTGGCTGACCAACTTCACCCAACCCGAGAATCAGCAGTACGACGGCAAACTCATCACCGACATCGCCGAGATGCGCGGCCAGGACCCGGCGGATGCGTTGTTCGACCTGCTGATTTCCGAAAACCTTGGCATCAGCACCGTGGGCCTAGGCACCAACGCCCAAACCCTCTACGCCTTCGTGTCCCATCCCTACGGCATGATCGCATCCGACGCAATCCTGTTTGGTGAGACACCACCAACCCCCCGCACCTATGCTCCTTCCCGTTGTGCGGCCTGAGTTTCGTGGCGCGCGAGCAGCAACCTCGGCTGCCCGAAGCTATTCGCAAGATGACCTCTTTCCCGGCGCAACGGTTGGGTTTGCCCGACCGGGGCATCCTGCGGGACGGGTTCAAAGGCGATATCGTGGTGTTCAACCCGGACACGGTCAAAACTCACGCCACCCGCGAGAACCCGAAGCAATTCCCAATCGGCATTGAGTACGTCATCGTTAACGGACAGGTAGTCATCGAGCAGGGCACGAACACCGGTGCATTGCCCGGCCGTGCGCTGCGCCGGGGCCGGGCCTCCACCTGACGACACCCGCATGATAGAGTCGATATCATCCGAGTACCGGTTCTGCCCCCGGTGCGGTCTACCGCTGTTGCTGTCTATCCGGGCGGGCGGGCTACCCCGAGCGCGCTGCTCAGGATGCGGGTTCGTGCACTTTCGTAACCCGGCGGTCGGCGTGGCGGTGGTGGTTATGGACGAGGACGGGCGGGTTCTGCTGGGTCGGCGCTCTGCTGGTGGAAACGAAGGTTCCTGGTGCATCCCCTGCGGCTACGTGGAATGGGGCGAGGATATTCGGGATGCAGCGCGCCGGGAGTTCCGCGAGGAAACGGGGCTCGACGTAACCATCGGCGACGTGTGCGCGGTGCACTCCAACTTCCACAATCCCAATGCCCTCACCGTGGGCGTTTGGTTTTGGGGCACGGTGGTTGGCGGCAGCGTACGAGCCGCCGACGATCTGGACGCAGTGGGATGGTTTCCGCCGAATGCGCCTCCCGAACCGTTGGCCTTTGCGACGGACCAGATGGTGCTGGACGATCTGGCGCTCCGGTGAAGCGGCGCGACACTTGATGGGCAAACAGGCTGTAATAATTCAGCACATCGCCGTTGAGACGCTGGGCGGCAATTTCGAAACGGTTTTGCGGGATGCCGCGTTCGAACTGACGACGGTGCCGGTGTTCGCGGGCGCTCCGGATTTCACCGACTTTGATGCGCCCAGTCTGGCCGAGGTCGACCTGATTGTCGCGTTGGGCGGCCCGATGTCGGCCAACGACGATTACCAGGCGTTGCGCCACGAGATGAACTACCTGCGGGCTGCTGCGACCGGCAACCCTGCCACTCCGGTGGTCGGCATCTGCCTGGGCGCCCAGTTGCTGTCCCGGGCGCTGGGAGGCGAAGTCGCTCCCGCCGGCGGCTACCAGTTTGGCCTGCGCGAGATTGACATAACCGCCGATGGTATCGCCGACCCGGTGTTCAGCAGCAGCATCACTATCCCGCTGGTGCCGACGCTGCATGGTGAGCGGTTCTCGGTGTCGGCTGGCGGCGCCCTGCTCGCGGAGGGCACCATGTTGCGGCGGGATGGGGGTTACGTTCGCATTCCCATGGCGTTCAGGTATGGAATTTCCTACGGATTCCAGTTCGAACCGCAACTGACGTTGGACGAATTTCGCATCTGGAACCGCGAATTATTTGGGGACTACTCCCTGATGGGAGAGCGTTTCGACCCGGCTCAGCAAGAGGCAGCCCGCAACCTGCGGGAATTCACGGCTTTTGCAGCGCTTCACGAAGCTCAAATGGCCCGGATGCTGCGGGCATTGTTGCAACAGGCCGGCATCGCGTAAACCTATGCGACATATCTGGTAACCACGGGCTGGTGGGATTGCGCACGGTTTGACACTTGGCACGGCGGCGATTAACCTGCTAGTCGTCAGGCGCGGCGGAAAATCCACCGGCGTTCGACCGCTAAATTGCACACGCTACTACACTGGATAGACTGGAGGCATTAGAACATGGCATACGAAGGATTGATTGCCGAGCAAGGTTGGGTTGAGGGTCACGAAGGCGACCGCATCAACGCTTACCTGGCGCGTCCCCTGGGTTCTGGCCCGTTTCCGGCCGTAATGTTGTTCCACCATATGCCGGGCTGGGACGCAGCGACCAAGGAAATGGCGCGCAAACTTGCCCACAACGGCTACATCGCCATATCCCCCAACCTGCACTACCGCGAGGGCAGCGACGATCCGTCGGCCAACAGCGCCAGCATCCGCGACAAAGGCGGCATGCCTGATGCCCGTACCCTGGGCGACGCCGCCGGCGCCATCGGCTACCTGCGCCACCTGGACGTGCATAACGGCAAGGTGGGCATCATCGGGTTTTGCTCCGGCGGACGCCAGGTATTCCTGGCTGCCTGCAAGCTGCAGGGCGTTGACGCCGCAGTCGACTGCTGGGGCGGCGGCGTAACCCAGCGCGACAGCGAGCCACCCACGGAGGCTATGCCCCACGCGCCCATCGAGTTCGTATCCGACCTAAGCTGCCCGGTGATGGGGTTGTTTGGCGAGGATGACGCCAGGCCGTCCATTGCCGAAGTGGAAGCTACCGATGCTGCGATCAAGGCTGCCGGCAAGTCCTGGGAATACCACACGTATCCAAACGCGGGCCACGGTTTCTTCGCCGTAGACCGGCCCAGCTACGCGGTGGAAGCAGCCAACCAGGGTTGGCAGGAAGTGTTCGCCTTCTACGGGCGGCACCTCAGCTAATCATCCGACAGGCCTTACCAAACGCCAGGGGCGGGTTTTGCGCCCGCCCCTTTTTATGACTGCCGGATGAGCCGGATTTAGTCGTCGGTGGATTCAAAGGCCAACGTTGCGAAGCGCATGAAGATACCGCCCCGGGGCGCCGCGAGGGGCCCGTTCAGGCAGAGGCAGGCGATCACGTAGGTGGCGCCCGGCTCTGCTGCCCCGCTGATTTCTACGCGGTGCGGAGCGTTCAGACCGACGATGCTACCGAAAGCCCGGTCGATCTCGCCGTTTACCCACACTTCGCCGTAATTGTCGAAGTTGGTTTCGAACCAGACGCGAGCACCGCTCACGTCCGCCCCGTCAATGGTGGCTGGCAAAGTCACCGCGATGCGGTACCAGGCGAAAGTGAAACCTACCGACAGGCTCTGGCGCACGTTATCGCACTCGTCCCAGGCGGAGTCGTCGAAGTCGGCGAGACGGGGTGGCGCTGCCAGCAGTCGTGCGGACAACCCTTCGTTGGGTTCGCCGGGAACCAGGCCAGGCGCCACCCGCCAGGGTCGTCCACCCACGGTGTTGCGACCATCGGGTGTGTTCAGATCAACAGCGAATCTCGGCATATCGTGGACTCCTCGGGTCGGTAGGGTGTAGGTGTTGGCACGGTGTAGTTGCGTTGGGTTGTTTCAGCGCGGATGACGAGGCGCAGGCTAGCGGAATTCCCAGAGGTTGGCGGCGGTTCCGCCGAACACCATGTCGCGAGTCTCAGTGCTGGGGTATTCGATCAGGTCCATCGGCAGGCGCAGGGAGTTGCGGTAGCCCTCCCGATTGGCGACGGGCGGGAAGTCGCTGCCCCACATCAGCCGGTCGCCGCCGAAAGCATCCATGGCCATCTCGATGAGCGGCGGCACGTTATCGAAGGGGATCGGTTGGCGGAATGGTATCGGCCTCGGACAGAACTCACCGAGGCCGGGTATTTTCATGTAGACATTGGGGTATTTTGACAGCGACAACGCCCGCTGGTAGACGTCCATCGGGACGTTCTTGTCGGCCCGGCCGGGGCCGAAGAATGCGCCCACGCCGGCCAGGTGTTCCATAACCACAGTCAGGTTCGGCAGCTCCTGGATAATCGCTTCAAACTCGGGGTCGGCGTACTGCTCCACGGTGCCCATGACGCTGGCGACCACTCCCAGGTCGGCGCAACTGCGCCACAACGCCAAAGGATCGTCGCCGGGAGCGCGCCAACCGCAGTTGAACCGCAGCCCGTCAACTCCCTGATCGTGCAGTTCGGCCACCTTTTGTGGAGCGTCGGCCTGCGTGTGGTCAACAATGGCGATGACGGCGAAGCGTCCGGGGAATCGTTTGACCGACTCCACTAGGTAGCTGTTGTCAAACACCCCGAAGAACTGGGTAAGGACTGCCTTGTCCACGCCCACCCGGTCCATCTCGTCCAGCAGAATTTCTACCGGCTCGAACCAGTAGGGGGAGGCGTGGCAATGCGTATCAATTACAGTGGGCATTTGGTTACTCCTTGTGAGTACCCCCTCTCCCCAGGTGGGAGAGGGTTGGGGTGAGGGGGTATTCGCCCTGCGACGGGCTCAGGACGAACGGTTGCCCCTTGCAAGAAAGAGGTTTGGGTGAGGGCAGTTGGTCGAACTACGCCGCGGTGGTGCCGCCGTCGATCACCAGTTCCGCACCGGTAACGAAGGATGATTCATCGGAAGCCAGGTAGATGGCGCCGTAGGCAATCTCGCTGGGCTTGCCCACGCGGCCCAACGGCAGGCGCTGCATACGTAGCGCCATGTTCGCCGGGTCGTTGAGCGTGTCGGCAATCATGTCAGTTTCGATGGGCCCGGGGTGAATTGAGTTGCAGCGGATGCCGTCGCCGGCGTGCTGGATTGCCGTGGACTTGGTGAAGAGGCGAACGGATCCCTTGGTGGCTGTGTAACTGGCGGAGCCGTTGGGACTGCCCACCAGGCCGGCGGTGGAGGAAATGTTGATGATGGAACCGCCGCCGTTCTCTCGCATCGCCGGGATTGCGGCCTTGGTGCCCAGGAAAACGCCTTTGGAGTTGACGGCGAAGATGCGATCCCAATCTTCCACGGTGGTCTCTTCGATGTTCTTGCGAATCAGGATGCCGGCGTTATTCAGCAGGATATCCAGCTTGCCGTAGGTGCTGATGGCAGTCTGGACTGCCGATTGCCAGTTGGACTCGTCGGTCACGTCCAGGTGGACATAGGTGACGTTGTAGCCCAATTCCTGCAATTCGGCTTCGGTCTGCCGGCCCTGCTCGTCCAGGATGTCGCCGATGATGACACTGGCGCCCTCCTCGGCGAACATGCGGGCTTCCACCGCGCCCTGACCACGGGCGCCGCCGCTAATGATCGCTACCTTTCCTTCCAGCCTAGGCATGACGAACCTCCTGTAGATGACCCGTGCGTTGCGTTAATGTGGGTAATGGGTTCACTTTATAGCGGTTGGGGGTGAGGCGCAACAAGCCGCACCCGGCCACCCAGGGCTTTTCGATTATCCGTGCATCTGGAGTACCGACTTGGCGTCCAAACCGTTGATGTGCGGGAACGCGATTGCCGGGTCGGTAGCTTCTTCGCAATGACGGCTGGCCGAGCTGCTGCGTTGGGGATGATCCTTCGACGGGCTCAGGATGAGCGGGGGAGTTTGTTGATGCGGCCCTTCGACAGGCCTAGAATGGGCTGGGGATTTTTCTGGCCGGTAATTTTCTGGTTAGTAATCGAACGGCCGTGAGCCGGCCACCGCCGGGAGTTGTCCCCCCAACCCGGTTCCGGTGTAAACTGCCCAATATCAGTTGAAAGCTCAGAGTGACCGGAAGCGGAACTTTACACACCCACCCGAGACCTATGAATGGCAAGGAGAAAGACGATGGCGACTGGCACTCTCACTATCGACTCACAGGTTCACGCCTACGAGCGGGACCGCCCGGAACGTCCCTGGGCCGGCACGTTGCAGGGCCCTGCCGAGGTTACCGGCGACGATATGGTAGCGGCGATGGACGCCGTCGGCGTGGACGGGGCTTTGCTGATCTCCCCATTCACGATGTATCGGTACGACGCCAGTTATGCCCTGGAGGTGTATGCGAAACATCCGACCCGGTTCGGCCTGATCAGGCCATTCGATCCGGATTCGGAAACGATCGATGAGGACATTGCCCAGTGGACCGGCACGCCGGGCGTGGTTGGAGCCCGCATCATGCTCAGCAACCAGGAGTACGAAGCAGACCACCCGGGCCTCAACGCGATACTCGCTGCCGGAGGTCGGGCTGGTGTTCCGGTAAACGTGATGTGTTCGACCAGGCTGCCCCTTTTCCGCGAATTGGCCCGTCGCAACCCCGATACCCGGATGGTGGTTGATCACCTGGGTATCGCTCAGCCACCCGCGCCCCCGCCGCTGCCAGAACCGTTCGCCGACCTGCCGGACGTGCTTGCGCTGGCCGAACTGGACAACGTAGCCATCAAGATTTCCGGGGCTGGCACGCTGTCGCATCAGACGTTCCCGTACCCGGATATCTGGGAGCCGCTGCGCCGGATTTTCGACGCGTTCGGCTTTGAGCGCTGCCTGTGGGGCACCGACTGGACCAGGGCCGTGAACTCATTGACCTACGAGCAGGGGGTAGAGGCTTTCCGGGTTACCGACCAGCTCTCGGAAGACGAGCGATCTGTACTCATGGGAGGAGCCCTCGCCAAGATCTACAACTGGTCGCCCGGCGCGGCGGCGTAGGCTGTCGAGGGAGCCGTAGCAAACCGGTCTACTGTTGCAGCCCAATGCGTCTACTATCCCACCCCAATGCTGCGGGCAATACGTGCCGGCCAAGAGATGGTGGGCCGTGTGGGGATCGAACCCACGACACCCGGATTAAAAGTCCGGTGCTCTGCCAGCTGAGCTAACGGCCCGAGGACGGCGGATGGCTTCCGTGGTCAAAAGTATAGCATAGGCGCCCGCTGAACCTTTCGAAATCTGGAATAACTCCGTATTGAATACCCTTGCCAAACGGCGGAACAGGGTGCATAATCACCCCTGTTACTTTCTGGTGGTTCAAGCGGGGTGGTCCCACCCGTTCCCATCCCGAACACGGAAGTGAAACGCCCCAGCGCCGACGATACTGCTCTGGTGACGGAGTGGGAAAATAGGTCACCGCCGGGAAGTGCAATTAGGATAGCAACAGGGCGGCTTCACCGTCGCCCTGCTATCCGCTCTAATTACAGGTATCGGCTTCTCCCGTTGCGCTAGCGAGCACTGGCAACGCTGTCAACTTGCGGCATAAGCCTGCGAATGCTGGTACGAACACGACGTTGAAGACTGGGTGGGTGTGATGACGCACCGTACGGAGACTGTAAGCCTGATTCCGCCGGAATCATGAACTTGAAACCCGTTACCAGCGGCCCCGCCGATAAATTCGGTGGCAAAGCCGCTTTTATTTTTGCCCAAAAGGGGTAAAATGGCGTCCACAGCATCACAAGTCGCAAATCAACCCAGGAGAAACTCATGGGCAGCAGATTCGAGAAATTCTCAGAACGGGCACGGCGGGTTTTGTCCCTCGCCCAAGAAGAGGCGCAGCGGTTCAACCACAACTACATCGGTACCGAGCACATCCTGCTGGGTCTGGTACGTGAAACCGAGGGCGTAGCCGCTCGAGTCCTGTCCGGCCTCACCGTAGATCTGACCAAGGTGCGGTCGGCGGTGGAATTCATCATCGGTCGTGGCGAACGCCCGGCGCAGGGCGAAATCGGCCTGACCCCACGCGCCAAGAAGGTCGTCGAGTTGGCGGTTGACGAAGCGCGCCGGATGAATCACACCTACATCGGCACCGAGCACCTGCTGATCGGGTTGCTCCGAGAAGGCGAGGGAGTCGCGGCCGGCGTCCTGGAAAGCCTGGGCGTTAACTTGGAAAAGGTGCGCGCGGAAACCCATCGCATTCTCAGCAATTCCAGCACCGGCACCTCCAGCAGCACCCGTTCCACGACGCGCACGCCAACTCTGGACCAGTTGGGTGTTGACCTGACCAACGCCGCCCTCGGCGGCAAGCTGGATCCGGTTATCGGTCGCGACACCGAAATCGAGCGCGTAACCCAGATTCTGAGTCGACGCACCAAGAACAATCCGGTGCTAGTAGGGGAGCCGGGCGTTGGCAAAACTGCCATCGTCGAGGCAATGGCCCAGCAAATTTCTTCCGGCAATGTGCCGGAGACCCTCCAGGGCAAGCGTCTGGTTACTCTGGACATGGGCGCCCTGGTTGCCGGTACTAAATATCGCGGCGAATTCGAAGAGCGACTCAAGAAGGTCATCGAGGAGATCAAAGTCTCGGGCAACTGCGTTCTGTTCATCGACGAAATCCATACCATCGTCGGGGCGGGCGCGGCGGAAGGCGCGGTAGATGCGTCCAATATCCTCAAGCCTTCCCTGGCGCGCGGTGAAATTCAGTGCATCGGCGCTACTACGCTGGACGATTACCGCAAGTATGTTGAACGCGACCCGGCGTTGGAACGCCGCCTGCAACCGGTAAGGGTGGAAGAGCCCGATGCCGATATGACGGTGAGTATCCTGCGCGGGGTGAAAGGTCAGTACGAAGACCACCACAACGTTGATATTACGGAAGAAGCGGTGCAGGCGGCGGCTACGTTGTCCACCCGCTACATTCCTGACCGGTTCCTGCCGGACAAGGCGATTGACCTGCTCGACGAGGCCGGTTCCCGCGTGCGTCTGCGCGGTAGCCACGCTCCCCAGGAAGTCAAGGATGCAATGGAAGTCCTGGAGCGTGTGCGGAAGGAAAAGGACGAAGCTATTGCGTCGCAGCAGTACGAAGTCGCCGCCGAGTTGCGGGATCGTGAGCTCCACCTCACCGAGAACGTGGGCGACCTGGAGCGCGACTGGAAGGCCGGCCGCTCCAAGGAACGAACGCAAGTTACCGAAGAAGACATTGCGGAAGTAGTGAGCATGTGGACCGGCATTCCGGTTACACGACTTGCTCAGGAGGAGACCGAGCGTCTGCTCCACATGGAAGAAGACCTGCACAAGCGCATCATCGGCCAGGACGAGGCCATCGTTGGCATCGCTCGGGCAGTGCGGCGAGCCCGGGCCGGCCTGAAGGACCCGCGGCATCCCATCGGGGTGTTCCTGTTCCTTGGACCTACCGGGGTCGGCAAGACAGAATTGGTGCGGGCAATGGCCGAGTTCATGTTTGGCCACGAGGACAACATGATTCGCCTGGATATGTCCGAATTCCAGGAGCGGCACACCACTGCCCGGCTGATCGGTGCGCCTCCGGGATACGTTGGTTACGACGAGGGAGGCCAGTTGACTGAAGGCGTTCGCCGGAAGAACTATTGCGCCGTCTTGCTGGACGAAATCGAAAAGGCGCATCCGGACGTTTTCAACATCCTCCTGCAAATCTTTGATGCCGGCCAGTAATGACGGACGCGCGCGGACGCCGCGTTGATTTCCGCAACTCCATCATCGTAATGACCAGTAACCTGGGCTCAGACCTCATCAAACGGGACAACCAGCCTGGGCTTTGCGGTCAAATCCGATAACGCCCAAACCGACAACATGGCTTACGAGCGGATGAAAGACAAGGTGATGGAGGAAGTGAAGCGCTTCTTCCGACCCGAGTTCCTCAACCGCCTGGATGCCACCATTGTGTTCCATGCGTTGAGTCGGGAAGAGATTCACCAAATTGTGGACTTGATGATGAACATGGTGCGGAGCGAGCTCAAGGACAAGGACATCGACATTGAGTTGACCGAGGCCGCCCGCGAGCATCTGGCGGAGAAGGGGTTCGACCCGGTGCTGGGTGCCCGCCCATTGCGCCGCCTGATCCAGAACGAAGTCGAGGACAAGCTGTCCGACGAACTGCTGGGTGGAAACATTGCAGAAGGCGACACAGCGATTGTTGATCTGGACGAAGATGGGAACGTGGTCGTCAAGGTTCGCAGCAAAGAGATGGCTGCCTTGCCCTCGGCATAAAGGCAGCATCAGGTAAGGGACCGAACATAGGGGCGTCAAAAAATGGCGCCCCTTACTGTTACCGTAATTAGCGAGCTGGCAAACCGCAATTGTGATGTGGAAGCAAGGAAACACCAGGCACCGGGAATCGTGGAACCGATGGCTCCGGGGCTGACGCCAGTGGCGCCGTACCGACGCCGTTTCACACACGGATGGTTGCCCCGACGCTGAATTGGGATTCGTAGCGGAGACAGGCAACTCTAAACCCGGTTGGCGATTGGCATGGCCCTTGCTAATTTTTGGTACTCCGTCCCAAACCGCGCGACGCAACTAGATTAGGTGACCTTCCATGCCGCGACGTTTGCTGAAACATATGGAACGGTCTTATGGCTTCGACGAAGTTGCCATCGTTCCCGGCGAAGTTACCATCAATCCTGAGATGACATCGACACAAATGAGCATTGGCGAGTTCGCCTTTGATTCACCGGTGCTGGCCTCGGCGATGGACGGGTCCCGTGCTCGCTCCGCGCGCCGTCTCGCCGCGCTTCGCCATCCTGATGCACGAAATGGGCGGGCTGGGCGTGCTGAACGGTGAGGGACTGTACACCAGGTCTGAATACGCCCCTATTCGTGCTGGCAGAAGATCCTCTCCATGACCAGTAGTCGGTAGGTCCACGCGAGTTCCTGCATGCAGTGTTATAGCGGACTCGGTGCAGGAGCACCTGATTGGGCAAAGGGTGGAGGAAATCAAAAGCACCGGTGCGGTGGCGGCCATGGCGTTTACGCCGGCCACGACCAAGAGATACAGCTCCCTAGCCGTCGAAGCCGGAGCCGACATCATAGTGGTGCAGTCAACGGTAACGACTGCCCGGCATATGTCGCGGAGTTACACGGGCCTGATTTTCTCGGAGTTGATCAGCTCGCTGAAGGTTCCGGTCGTGGTTGGCAACTGTGTCAGCTACAGCGTGGCCACCGAGCTGATGGAAACCGGGATTGACGCCTTGTTGGTGGGAGTCGGCCCAGGCGCGGCCTGCACCACCCGCGAGGTTACCGGCGTCGGCGTTCCGCAAGTTACGGCTACCCTGGAATGCGCAGCAGCTCGCGAGGATTACTTCCAACGGACCGGGCGGTATGTCAGCGTGATCACTGACGGTCGAATTCGCACCGGCGGCGATTTGTGCAAGGCGATGGCCAGCGGCGGACGGCGTCATGCTGGGCACTCCCTTCGCTCAGGCCACGGAAGCCCCCGGCCGCGGCTACAACTGGGGCATGGCCAACGCCCATCCGGAGTTGCCGCGCGGCACGCGCATCAACGTGGGCACCAAAGGCACCCTGCAGCAGTTGATGCACGGCCCGTCCACGTTACCAACGGTACCCAAAACCTGGTGGGTGCGTTGCGCGTGGCGATGGGTATGTGCGGATCGTACACGGTGCGCGATTTCCACCAGACCGAAATGATAGTCGCCCCGGCCATCAAGACTGAGGGCAAGCATTTTCAGTTGCTGGGATAGGTCAGCGGCCCGAATTGTCCCGCTTCCGGCAACCATAAAGGAGTTTTTGAATGACCACTGGAACGATTCAGATATTGAGTTGCCGATTCACGTCAGCAGAACATGCGCCGAACGGCCGGCCGCCGGCCGATTGCCCAGCCTGGCTGGCAAGACCATCGGGTTGCTGGAGAACCGGAAGTACCACTCCGATAACTTCCTCAAGGAACTGCAATGCGTTCTGGAAGAAGATTACGCGGTGGACAAGGTTATCTACTTCCAGAAGTTCAGCTTCAGCGCGCCCTGCTCTGACGAAACTATGGAGGACGTGATCGCCCAGTGCGATGCGGTGGTGCATGGAATTGCGGATTGAGGGAGTTGCACGGCGTGGGGTCTCCCAAACAAAAACCACCCCAATTCCACCGAAAACAAAACCAAAAACACTACCACCCACGAAAAACCCGCAGGCCACCTCCCTCCAGACCCGACCCCTCACCCCCCCCCCGCTCAGAACCCCACCCACCCCATACCTCCCAGGGGGCACGCTTCCCCCCCCTCACCCCGCCACCCCTGATCTACCCGTTCCAGGGCCCCCCGCCCGACACCCAACGCAACTGGAGACGGACACCTCCTCCCAACCAAAACCGCAAACACGCCGGCCGGATCCCCCCACCCGCGGGGTGAGTAGTCCGCCGAACCCACCGGCAGCGTACTCCCCCCTTCCTTCCCCTCACCTCTCGGCATTTCCGTCGGTGAGCGTCTCACGAAAGTTCAACCGCCGAGCCGCCCACGCACGGGCCACGGCCCTGGGTATGCCGGCCGTTCAGATTCTGGCGTTGCCCAGCCCGCTGGCTCCGCGTTCGATTCCCGAAGTTCGCGAACTGGCGCACGAGTACGCCGGCCAGATAACCGCCATGCTGACCAACGGCAACTAGACCTAACAAGCTTTCAGACCTAACGAGCGTTTGAGGAGAACTCGCCCTATGGCAAGCAACACGCCGGCTTTGCGTTCTCGGCGGATCGACGTTCCTGATTCATACGAAGCCATTCAGGACTACTACGAGGACCAGGGTTGGACGGACGGGATGCCAGTCGTCCCGGCTACCGAAGCATCCGTGCGCGTATGTTGGGCCCCTGGGGCGAGGACCCATCGCAATCTCTGGGAGTAACCCAGCCGTCAAACGTTGAGGTTACGCTGGAGAAGGTTGCCGTCAACGCAGTGATGGCCGGCTGCCGTCCGGAGTATTTTCCGGTGGTGGTGGCGTGCGTCAAGGCGGCCATGCAAACCGAGTTCAATCTGGCGGGATGCCAGGCGACCACCGGCGGAGCCGCCCCGGTCATAATCGTCAACGGACCCATCGCCGCGCAGTTGGGTATCAACGGAGACTCGGGCTGCTTTGGCCCCGGATACCGCCCGAATGCCACCATCGGCCGCGCGCTTCGCCTGTTCGTACGCAACATCGCTGGCCTCATCATCGGTGAAATGGACAAGGCGACGCTGGCGATGCCGGGGCGGTATTCGTTCTGCTTCTCCGAAAACGAAGCGCGCAGCCCCTGGGAACCGCGCCATGTGGAGCTCGGGTTGAATCCTGAAGACAGCATGGTTACCATTCATGCCATTCGCGCCTTCTACCCCATCATGGAGACCACCGTTTCCCGGGGCATTGAGATTCTGAACACGCTGGTCAAGGCAACGCAGGCGACCGGTTTCTCGAACTACTATCAGATTGGCACCGGGGCGCAGGTAACGCTGGTGATAAGCCCCGAACACGCCGCTGAAATCGCGGCGGATGGTCTGACCAAGAAGGACGTTCGGGAGTACGTTTACGCCAACGCGCGAATGTCGATTGGGCAGCTGTCCGGTTTGGCGCATTGGGGCAACCGCAACTACCCGGCCTGGATCGACGACAGCAAACCGGACACCATGGTGCCCATCGCGCCGCGGGCCGATGATATCGTGATAGTAGTTGCCGGCGGTGACGGTCGCCACTCCGCCTGGCTCGCGGGGTGGGGCGTAACCCGGGTGGTTACCGAGAAGATCGAGATACCGGGATAGGCCGGCCCCGCCGGAGTCCCGGCGAAAGTCGGGCCGCGCATCTCAAAAGGGGCGACGCTTTCGCCCTTTTATTTGCCCGTTGACCTGCAAACGGGCTAGGAATCATGGCAACAATTTGACATAATCCCCGATAATTGTGCAAAGCTAAGTGTTCACCCACCTTCACACCCACACCGAATATAGCATGCTGGACGGCATCAGCCGCATCCCCGATCTGGTCAACCGGACTCGGGAGTTGGGCATGGACGTCATGAGCATCACCGATCACGGTTCCCTCTATGGCGTGGTCGATTTCTACTCCGAGTGCGTCGAAGCCGGCATCAAGCCCATCATCGGCTGCGAGATGTACGTGGCCCACGGCAGCCGCCATGAACGCACGCCCAACGAGCGCACGGCGAACCACTTGGTTCTCATCGCCAAAGACAACACCGGCTATCGCAATCTGCTCCAACTGGTAACCCGCTCCCACCTGGAGGGGTTTCACTACCGCCCTCGCATCGACAAGGAGCTGCTGGAACAGCACCGGCAGGGCCTCATCTGTCTGTCAGGCTGCGCTTCGGCGGAGGTGCCCACGCTGCTGGCCGACGGCAACTACGACGCGGCCCGCGAAAAGGTGGGTTGGTATCGCGAGCTGTTTGGTCAGGACTACTACCTGGAGCTGCAGCACCACGAGCACGTCCCGCAGCTGCCCGCCATCAACGAGAGCCTGATCCGCCTGAACAAGGACACCGGCATTCCACTGCTGGTGACTAACGATGCCCACTACGTGCGGCAGCGCGAACACCAGTTTCAGGATGTGTACATCTGCATCCAGACCGGCACCAACGTCCACGACGAAAAGCGGCTGCGGATGGAGGATTCCTCCTATTACATCAAGTCGCCCGCCGAGATGGCCTCCCTGTTTCCCCAGTTCCCGCAGGCGCTGGACATCACCGGGGAGGTTGCCCAGGGATGCAACGTGTCGCTGGGATTTGGGCAGATGCACCTGCCCAGGTACAACACCCCCAACAACGAAGATGCTGACGCCTATCTGGAACGCATCTGCTGGGAAGGGTTCCGGAAACGCTACGGCAATAATCATGAGGAAGCCCGCGTCCGCATGGAGTATGAACTGGAGGTGGTGAAGCAGACCAGCTTCGCCAACTACTTCCTGGTGGTCTGGGACATCATTTCCTTCGTGCGTCAGCAGGAAATCCTGTTCGGCGTGAGGGGTAGCGCGGCGGCCAGCATCGTTCTGTACTGCCTCGGCATTACCGAGATTGACCCGCTGGAATACCGCCTCGTGTTCGAGCGTTTCCTGAACTTCGAGCGCAAGGAAATGCCCGACATAGACATGGACTTTCAGGATGACCGGCGCGACGAGGTGCTGCGCTATGTCATTGACCGCTACGGCAGCGACCGGGTGGCCCAGATCATTACCTTCGGAACCATGGGCCCCAAGGCGGCGCTACGAGATGTTGGCCGCGGGTTGGGGATGAGCTACGGCGACGTTGACCGGGTGGCGCGCATGGTGCCCAATCGCTCCCGAACACTGTCCGATGCCCTGGCCGCCAACCCGGAGTTGAAGCAAACCTACGAAAGCGACCCCGCGATGCAGAATCTGGTGGACAATGCGCAGGCCCTGGAAGGTATCGTCCACCACGTTAGCACCCACGCCGCCGGCGTTCTGATTGCCGACGAACCGCTCACCGAAACGGTGCCCCTGCAACGTCCGGCCCGCGGCGATGAAAACAGCCCGGTGATGATGACCCAGTTCTCCATGGACCCGGTGGCCAAGCTGGGCCTGCTCAAAATGGATTTCCTGGGCCTCACCAACCTTACCATCCTGGATCGCACCATCAAGCTGCTTGACGAAGAGCGTGGCATACGCATCGACCTGGGCCGGCTGGGGCTGGACGACGAAGAAGCCTACGAACTGCTGGGCACCGGCAACACGTCCGACCTGTTCCAGTTGGAATCAGCCGGTATGCAGCGCTACATCAAGGAGCTGAAACCGTCGAACCTGGGCGACATTGCGGCCATGATTGCGCTGTACCGCCCCGGGCCTATGGAGCACATCGACCGGTTCATCCGCTCCAAGCACGGGCGGGAGGAAGTCACCTACCCCCACCCCAGCATGAAGGAACTGCTGGACGAAACCTACGGCGTCATCGTCTACCAGGACCAGGTGCTGCAATTCTGCAGAACTTCGCCGGCTACACGCTGGGAGCCGCCGACACTGTCCGCAAGGCAATGGGCAAAAAGATTCCCGCGTTGATGGCCGAGGAACGGGACCGCTTCGTGGCCGGCGCCGTTGCCCAGGGCTACACGGAGATGATGGGCACCGAGATTTTCGACCTCATCGAGCCCTTCGCCGGCTATGCGTTCAACAAAGCCCACAGCGTCAGCTACGGCCTCATCTCCTACTGGACGGCCTATTTCAAGACTCACTACGCGCTGGAATACATGGCCTCGGTGCTGAACTGCCGCCTCGACCATGCCGACCGGTACGTTGCGTCCATCAACGAATGCACGCGAATGGGCATCACCATCGGGTTGCCCGACGTGAACGCATCCGGCGTGCTCTATACCATCGACAAGACGGTGGACAAGTCGGCCGGCCTGGGCCAGCTGCGCGTCGGTTTGACGGCGGTTAAAACCATTGGCGAGGGCGCCGTGAACCCAATCGTCGCCGAGCGGACGGCCAACGGTCCCTACACCTCGGGTTGGCGATTTCTGCAACCGCGTCGATGTTTCCGGGTTGAACCGGCGCACCCTGGAAGCGCTGGCCAAGGCCGGGGCGTTCGACTCGCTGGCGCCGCGGGCTGCCGTGGTGGGCGCGCTGGATCGCATCTGGGCGGTGGCACAGCAGGAGACCCGGAACCGCAACTCCGGGCAGTTCGGTATGTTCGGCAACGAGCTGGACAGCAACTCCGGCGGTACCCTGCTGGAACTGGTCACCAAATCAACCTGACTATACGGCTCAGGAAAAGGCCGCACTGGAAAAGGAGTTCCTCGGCGTCGCCATTTCCTTCAACCCCATCCTGGCGCTGGCCGCCGTCGACCCGGAGGGCGCCATCAACTCGGTGGAGCAGCTGGACGAGGACGCGGTGGGGTCAACGGTTACGCTGCTGGGGCACGTCAACGAGGTTACCGAGCGGTACACCCGCGACAACCGCAAGTTCCTGCGCGTCGATCTGGGGATGGTTGGCGGCCAGGTGGAAACTATGGTCTGGCCCGACAACCTGGAAAAGACGGCCCACGTCTGGCAGCAGGGCGCCACGGTTCGGGTGGTCGGCCGCTTGCAGGTCCGGGGCGATGACTTCTCGCTGGCCTGTTTCGATGCCAGGGAGTTTCAGATTGGAGATCCGGCCGGAACTCCGCCCGCCGGAACACCGTCAGGCGGTGAAGCCGGTCGTCCCTACGCCGGCCCCAACCGGGAGGGAGCCGGCAACCCGACACGGGCCAATGGGCACGGCAACGGCAATGGAGCGCCGGCTCCGGCCAGCCCTGCCGCGCCCGTCGGTGGTCGGGATGCCGGTATGCTCATCAGGATGACCGAAACCGACGACGCCGACGGTGATCGCTACCTGCTGCGTCAGGCCATTCGGGTCATGCTGGAATACACCGGTGATGACAAGGTGTACGTGGAGCTGAACCTGCAGGAGGGTCGGCGTGTCCTGATGGAGGTTCCCACGGTGTCAACCAACGCCTGTCCGGAGTTGCAGCAGCGCTTGCTGGAACTGCTGGCGCGAGCTGCAAATTCGCCGACATGTATCGCAGCTTCTGGGAACCCTTGCTCGGGCCTGCTGGCGTGACCCCGGATCTTCCGACTCCTGCGGTGCCCCACCGCGCTCTGCCCTACCCCTGCCGTTTCGCGTCCATTTCGTCTGCGAGTTGGACTGTCCCTCTCTGTTCATTGCGAGGAGCGGAGCGACGCGGCAATCTCGTAGTCATAACGACGTTTGTAGGCTC